TTGTTTCCCCCCCCCCCCCCCAATCCCCTGCTCGTATAGATAAGTAACATAGACAAAATCCTTCATGCTCAGCTCAACGGCAATAACAACTTATTTACTACTACTGCTAATCATTAAATACTACTTCGATTTTAACAACTAACCATGCGGATATTTAAAAAACTCGCATCTTAAATAGACACAACAGAACCATTCGAATAGCTATACCACAATTTAAGTAGCCATGTCGACAGTTAAATAGTTCTGAAAAAATTGAATACTTATGCGTGTACTTAAATACCGATGTAAATACTTAAACACCTATGGAAAACTTAAATAGTGATCCAGATACTTAAATAGCTATGCAAATACTTAAATAGCTGTAGCTGCATTAGAAAGCTGGAAAGTTTTCACAGTCACTTGTGTTAGACAAAAATTGTAGTATTAGATTAAATTTCAATTGTTGATAGATGATGAATAATACTTCCTTGATGACAGAAGCACAAAAGAGTGCAGTAAGTGGTGTTTGCTCAGCTGGTTTGAGAATAACTACATTGACTATTTGTTATTGCAATATATAAGAAAATGTAAATTAATCGAAGTAATGAAGTTACCATAAACTAATGCTGATCCAAGTTTCAAGGCCAACATAACAGTCTAAAATATAATGGCAACAATACTTTTGTATGATGCATATGTAAGAAAGAATATCGTACTGAATAATTACTGAAAGAAGAAAGTACAATTTGAATATTCATTTATTGAATGTTTGAACTGACTATAAAATGATTTGTCCATAGATCACAACTGGTTCATGTCTAATATAGGTAATAAAAATACTTGATTCTGATGGAAGTATTTCACTAGTGATTTTATCAGCGCATGCAGCATCTGTAACATGTGAATATCATCGATAATAATAAAAAGAGAATGTCAGAGAGACTTACAACAATCAAGACAAACAGCTGCTCCAAGAATCTCGCAATAACTCTCTTGTAGCCGTTTTTCACTACTCAATGTTTCTAATCGCTGAATATTCATTTATGATGTAGATGCAAACAAACAGAGTGAACATTTTTACTGCTAAATAATCTACAACACGTGGAAGTAAATCAGCTAGTTTATGAATTAACTGAGTACGTGCAGCAGGATCTAACTTATGTCATAGTGAATTATATTGGAAACCTTTTTCAGCAGCTTCAATTACTTTATCAGGATCATTCTACAATGTTGGAAACAATAAAAATTACACGTACAACGAAAATAATCATGTATATATATTGATACTTTTGTGCCTTCTTCTACTTGACAAATTTCTTCATCTGTACTTGGATTAATGATAGAGAACGGATTCATTTTTGTCTACATGATTGATCTTGATTTATCACATAAGAAGAAAAGAAAAAATGGACATATATTAACTCGTTCCTCTATCTACTTATATTCATTTCTGTTTCAGTTGCAGATGATGCCTTCCATCTTAATGAATGATTCAACTTATGAAACCAATTTGGTTAAAAGAAAACAAAAGTTTGATAACGTAGCACACTGGAGTATTGTAACAAGTCTTCGTGTCAATGTGGTATTTTTTTAAACTTGTCTTATCAATTAGACTTTGCGACAAGCGAAGAGCAATTTTTCTAGTAATATATATATATTTGATATTGCACTTCACTATAGAACTATTTTACTAACAGGTGCAAATCAGATCGTCGTTAGTATATGCAAAATCATATTCTTTTGATGTGATTCTATTACTAAAGATCTTGTCAGTTCGTTTAATGTGAAACACTCAATATATGAAGGAAGACTTCCAGAACGAAATTGTCACGACGAAAAGATGGAATTTTTAGAATAGCAAAGATTTCAAGCGAATAGATCTAATTTTCATAACTGTACGCTGGATTTCGAAAGCGTTGTAAATAACAGGCTAAAGCATTCTCTTCACCGATATCATATATCTACTTACGTGATTTCAGTTAACAAATTAATATTTTTTACAAGAATAATATTGTTACTGTTCAAAACTGATGTCACTTGGATGATAGAGAACAGGAACAATCAAAAAATTTATTATATATAAAAACTTCTTTAGATTCACTATATATATAATCAATAAGCAATGTTTTACGATAGCGGAAAAGAATCTATCACATTTTCCCTTCTTCAATAATCAATTTGTTTCTTTGTATTGTATTTCTTTAAAGTTTTTTAAACAATAAAATTTTAAATGTTATTAATTATGTATCTTAAATTGAAACTAGATTATGATCATTCATACGAGTTATTACCGTAATTACTAGCTGTTTCAACTGATTGTTCGTGATATTCTATTCTTTGCACTTAAACATTTTATTTAAATTAGTTGTACGTATTAGTGAGACTTTCGCAATACATGGAAGAGTTTAGAGAGCAAACTACATAAATATTAGAAAGTTAAACAAGCAAATCCAAATAGCTGTTCTTCATGAAAAATTTGTATTGTTTTTCCTCAAACAAGTTTAACAACAATTATTTTTACTTGATAGTATGCTTCGAGACCATATCGACCTAAATTCTTTTTCCTGACTTGATTCTTTAAAGCTATCAAATAGTGCTTCATCGCATATAGTCTTATAAGTATTTATCCAAATAGAGCCAGGTCGTATTTGATGAGCCAACGTAAGACCATGTCTTACTGAAAAACTAGAATAATCATCAATAATCATGTCTTTCAAATTTACTGTCTCTAGTTATCACTCCAGCACCAAGTCCAAAAGTCGTGTCGTTTGCTCGTTTGATAACTTCTTCATATGAATCATACTTTAAGACTGACATTACTGGACCAAATATCTAAACTTTTATATTATTATAGAATCCAATCAAAAAAAATATTATACCTCTTCATGAGCAATTTGCATATCATCTTTTACATCACTAAAAATAGTTGCTTTGATAAAATAACCTTTATTATCAACTCGTTCACCATCACATTCTGATTTGACTCCAAACTTTTAACCTGATTCTATATAGTCCAAAATCTATTAAAATTAACTATCATTTATCTATCATATACAAGTAAAGTGAACTTTTCTTTAGATTAAAGAGGTTATTACTTGTGATCCTTGTTCAGTATTAGAATCAATTTGATTATTTGAAGTCTTATAGAATACTCATCCTCACCCTCAGATGATCAAAGGAGATTTTCCACCGATATGTGAAAAGAGAATAGCTCAGATGAAAATTATTTTGTATTTGTTACTGACTAAGTTCAAGTGTAACACATTTAAGATTTGATTTAGCTGCTGCTTCTTGTATTTTCTTTCCAATCTTCAATCAAATATTTCACATTCATTTCTTTTTAGTTTTATTAGTGAATGTTTTTATTTCAACTGACTCAGTACAAGCTACTTTATCACTATGTGCGTGAACAGCAATTGCATAACCAAATTCAGGCCCATCACCTAAATATTCTTATGAAATTATTATGACAAATATCATTCACTTTACCTGGTATGATGTTGACAACATCTGGTGGAAAGCCAGTCTAGATCATCATGACAACAACAAAGTATAATCGACATGATAATATCTTACCTCTTTGATAAGAGCAGCACAATAAAGTGCATTAAGTGGTGTTTGTTCAGTTGGTTTCAGTACAATCAACTGAGAAAAATATTTCACCTTTAGTCTGTTCTAATAGTTTACCATTGTTAAGTGTTTCCACTTTCTACATATTGACTTAGGTTGAGAGAAAGAAAGAGAAACTAATTTATGCCATGGTGATTCAATATCAAAAGCTGTTTGAGTACCTTCAACTGCTTTATCAATATCAGCCTGAAAATCACAATAGATAATGAATCAATGAAGAACATACAGAGATTCATACTCTAATGCCTTCTTCTACTTGACAGATTTCTTCTCCTATACTTGGATTGATGAGAGAAAATGTTTTTCCATTTGTTGCTTTATGCTATTCTTTGTTGATAGAGATTTGAGTATATTTAACTTCAACATTCGAAACTATTCAATTAGCCGATGACATCTGAAAAATAAGAGAAAAGACCTGAACAAAAAAAAGGTGTTTTGGTCGACAACAAGTATGATAATGATAGTGTCGTCATCATTTATCTAAGCAAACATACACTTATATATCCCGCTTGCTCTCTTTTATACGTACACAAACATATACCCACATTTTGCTTTTTCTCTTATTGTCTTAAGGCGAAAGAGAACAGACGCTAAATAAAAGAAAAAGTAGTTTTTCTTCTTGCCAATATAAAAATGTAGGTTGCATCAACGACAGAACACAAACAAAATATAAAATACAAAACCATGTTTTTGTCAACAAAGAAAACGAGCAGTACATAAACAGTCATGATTTTGATTAGAGAAAAAAAATCTTAGAGAAACGCTGGAACTTCTCTGGTACCAAGCGGTCATTTCGTCACATCATGATTTTTCCAATCGATCAGGACAAGATCCCATAGAGTTGATTAACATCAGTTCCCTCTCTGTTTCTCCCAGCGATTACCTAATCATCAGACCATTTGGTTACAATTTTGATAAATGATGTGTTTTTTCCTGAAACATGTTTCAACCAAGCGAAATGAAAACAAGCTACTTCTTTCGAAATTTCTTACTTAAATCTTGTGATGGACTGTAACAAAAATAAGAAGTATTCCCTTTGGATATTTGAAATGATTCGATCATATTTCAGATTTTAATCTCGCACGAATTGCGCTCAAAGATTTTTTGTCCGATTCGTGCCATTTTCACATAAAACGGTAATTCAATTTTATTTATCTTTTCAGGTTTTCGTTGTAAAAGTAAAAAGTTTACAAAAATACTCATTTCTATCTCTTATTCTGCCGAAAAAGGTTAATTGTGCAGCAGAATATTACGATAATTGAGTATTAGAAAAGTGCTCATGTGATTCTCACATAGTGCTAATATATAATTAAATACAATTTTATCTCCTGTTTTCAAGTGTGAAACTCTCTAGTTTCTATCAAAACTGATTCAAAAAATATTCATTCTTCTTCTAAGTTGAAACGAAAAATAATTTTGCTTTCCTAAAGCTAATTTTTTGGAGAAAGACGATTGAAATCAATACATCTTATGTAGAAAAAATGTTGATTTTTGTATAGATATTGATATAAGATTGAGTTTTTTTCAAGACTTATTTGACATGATAAAATTTACAGGTAGTCAAAGCATTGAAGCTGGTGTATATTTTTTATATGCAAAATGTGCAAGACTAAAAACATTTTGACGTATCGAATATTTCAACATATAAACAAAAATGTTTCATCAATATGATCTATAGCAAACAATATGTTAGTGACGAATACCATTTGAACGAATTTCGATTGTCAGATAATTAAAATCAAAATATTCAATGACAAGCAAAGAATAGAAAAGCAAAAACAATGAGAAAATATATACTAATGATATATTTGAGAACGAATTAGAGTTCCACTGAAGCAGAATAAATATAAGATAAAAACAAATTTCCAACGTACAAAAATTTCTTCGAAGATAATCTTTATATGATTGTATTTGTATTTTTCTTTTTATTGATAAGGAGAGTATTACTATAAAATTTAAAACGCTATTCAGAAACTCGAGTGATCTGAACCGGTTTTTCGCTCAATGAAATTAAAAATTATCATCTCGATAAAGATCAATTAGTTTTTCGTACTCAATTATAACTTATTATTCTCAAAGATATCATTGAACTGTCGTATAAAACCTGAGACCATCTCATTTCACTCTCACATTTGATGAAATATCTTTACAGCAAAAGCTTTGAGGTGAGAAACGCACCAATGACGATGAATGATAATAGAATTGAAATTGTGCAATTGATAGATAGTTCAATTGATCAATTAATAAAACTACATAATCGATTTAGGTCCAATCGATAGTGGATTTCACTTTCAAATTTTTCAAAATTGTTTCGTACGTATAAAGTTCGTATCACTTCGAAGGCAATATCAAGTGATAAGCCAGCTAGCATAGCGAGATCTTGACGCGAAAGTGAACGTAAATGAGGTATATGTTCAATGAGATCGAAAAATGAAGTCGATATAAGATTGGTGTCGGTTTCTTCTATATTGAATACGAGTGATGTAACATTGATAAAACGTTAAATAATTGGATGATGTACATATTGGTGATCAATAAATATTCGGACATACGAAAATAGTTGATGTAAAACGAGGTACCGTAAAGATCTTTCGCGAATATGGACCATCATAGGCAACAAATCAGCGTTTTTGTTCAAGTCAAAATAGTGAACAAAATGAATCAAGAATATTTTCTTCGGAAAAATCTGATAATGAACATGGAAGATGCAATCAAAAGTTGAATATAGTCAAATGTGAAACAAGTAATTCCCATTTTTGGCCATCAATAAGATCCAGATAACCTTGTGCAATAAGTTCGAAATAATATAGATTAGATATTTTAGATAAAAATTGTTCTGCATGAATCATGGTTTTTTTTACCTTAATTTTAAAAAATAAAGAATATATATATACAATTTTCAAATAACTATACGCACCATGAATGTTTAGGATGAGCCATCTTAGATAGGGTAATAATGATATGTTATCCGTTCACTTTGGATAATTATCATATGAAAGTTTGACATCAAGTGAATAAAGATTAGGAATTTGATTCAATATAAATGATAAGCCCTAGCAAAAGAAACTTTGAAGAGTTAAATGACGTAGATGAGGCAATGAAATCAAAACGAGATTATGAACATGAGGTACTGCTAGTCGATTCAGTCAAGGAATTAGTTTATATATAGCAGTGTATGTCTGTGTTTATTATCACTAATCGTAGTCATATCGAATGATTGAAGATGAATGAATTGTTCGAGTTTAAAACGAGAAACGAACAGGTTTGATTGATTTGATGTATCATTGTTATGGAACAATATAACAGAAATGACTTGATGTGGTCATATATGTTGGCAAAGAAGATCAAATTTCGATTTAAGAACAGAATGAAATTTGAGTAAAAAGTGACAACAGCCAGCTAATACAGAATCCAGGTAATCACTTAGGCTAGAAAATGAATAGTAGATATCATGTACTCAAAAATAATCAAAAATATCGTATGAGATAACTGATTTCTTATTGCTCGTTCATGATGTAATAATATAGCACACTGCTTTTTTTTCTTGTTTCGTTCTTTAGTCGATACTACTTTCAAACGTTCTTCTTTCAGATATGAAACATATGTCGAGATGCAAATGAGATTGACAAATTAAAAGCTTCGAATAAAATGAGCAAACATGTCTTACGATGGTCACATATCTCTTCTGCATCTTTAGTCTTTACGTACTTTAATCATTGCCATTTTTTTTCTTTATTTACAACATTTAGTACAAGTCACTGCTTTCCATTTTTAAGCTGCTTGTTTTTCTTTTTAATCCAACTTTATGACATTAGAGAAGTTTTTTTTTGATGAAATTGAAATATAGAAAAATTCAGATTATAAAATCAACTTTTTTTCTCTAGGGAAAATAAATGAGCAAAGAAGAAAAGCCTACTTCGAACGTTATCTTGTTTGAGTTACCTTGCGATTGAACGATGAATAAGAAAATGATTAACGTTATTTTTTTTTTATATACAAGGTATCTCGTAAGTCATCGAGCAAGAAAAGATTTGAATATCTCGTCGTATTTCGGCGAAATAAGCTAATTATTTTACTAAAGATAAACCATGGTTCATACCTCATATTCATAGTAAAACGTTAGCAAATAGGTTTTTGAAGTGTCATTTCTACCTTCTGACTTCCATAAGCTATAAAAATACAATATGTTTATTCCCATGGACAAAAATGAAAAACATAGCTATTTTTTCGATGACTTCTTCATACTATTGTGAGGTGCATATGATGTGGAGAAATATCTTCATATGATTATTTTCTCATTCCTACGTTGTTTTTGAGTGTTATGTATTCGTATGCAAAGGTCTTCTGAACACTAACTATGATATTATACATACGTTGCTTCACTAATGTTTTTCTATTTATACAAATGATGATTCACCTACTCTCATGTATTATCCGATCCAAAATAGAAGGCAGTTTGCCATTTTTCAAATAACTTTTAATAGGAACAAGATAGAGAGCTACGATTTTCCCCCATTTAAAAGAGCAATACTTGGGCTATCAATCTGTATAAAATTCATTAGGACGAAAGATGTTTGTTCATAGAGAATTATCGATTAAGTTTTTTTCTAGGTGTAATTTTCCTCAATTTTCACAATAATCTGAACTCAAATGATGCGAAAATGTAGCTTAAGGACACTTTTTTCCCTATAAAACATGTAAATGCTCTTGAGAATCCACTTCGTAAAAGAGATCGAGGATTGATCGAAAATGTGATGATTTTATAGTGAAAAAAGTGTGATAGTCAATCTTGTTCGAAAAGCATCTTTCGTTCTCATGAGTTTTATACAGATCGATGGTCCATATGCAGTGATCGTTTGAAAAATAAAAAAGAAGTTCATTTTCGATCAGATAGATGGATTCATTCGTTAAGAGGAAATCAATTTAATTGAATCATAACACAACTTAACGATTAGTTGGGAAAGAAGATAGGATATGGAGCTGGCAAGTCACGAAAGGCGCCGATGAATGACGACACGAAGGATTAATTAAAAAGATACAAAACCATATTTCGTTATATTGCAATCAATATAACCAGCTAAACTAGAAGTGTTACTTTCGTGTTCCATTCTTAATAACGGAAACGCAAAATTAGTTTCCGCTTCTAGAAAGCGAGAACGCATAATAGTCTCACCTCAAAAGATAGACAATGATGTATAAACATTTTGGTATATTTGAACAATCCTAGAAAACATAATTTGAGATGCGTTCTTATTCCTTTACATAAAAACAATTGCATTATGAAGATATTGACTCGAATTCTTTATGTCGTCATCTTCTTCAGTCTGAAATTTTACTCACACTTCAATCTTAACTCAATGTCGACCCCATTCGCTTCATCTATTTGTGAATATAAGTGTGGTTAAGTGGATGTAGATGCTTCCTCTTGTCCAATTCATGGAGTCAGTAAGCCATATTCACTCACAAGATAGTGCATCTGCAAGACGAACTTTTTAGGTTTTGTGTAATACGTGCATTGTTTCGAGTGTTTGTCAACACTACTGTTTGCAATAATTTCATTTTGAATCGAAATTACTTTAGACAAATGTGTCCAAAAATATTTACATACTTTTTGTTCTGTTCCTATCTCAACAAAGATAAATGATAGAATCTTGATCTGTTTGTTTTTATATAAAAGATCTGCCCGCGAAGTTCTATACAAGCTTGTATAAACTATCATTTAAAACAATATAATCCAACGCTTTTACAGGATACATAGTGTGCTTTTATGAACTATATCCATTTTTCACACATTGCTTTTATTAATCTGGGTTTGTTTACGAACGAATAATTTATTAAAATAGAACTTACTATTGGATAGCTTTTGAAAGCATCTGCGAGTATTTTACCTATATATGAAATTTTCTTAATAACATGGAAAAGAATCAGAAGAAAACGTGCAGGAAAATAGATAAGTTAATACAATCTTGTAGAGAATTTTTTTAAACACATCTGTTAAACAAAAGATCAACTTTCCATCATTCATCTATTCTGAGATATAGATAAAACAAAAAGTACGCAAACATTTCTTAGTTTTAAGAATGAGAAAAAGAAAAAATGTCTCAAGATCGTTATGCAAAAGAAACAATTTTTATTATTCAAATCATTCGAAATGATTTTATCTATTTTCTTTTCAACAGTATATTTTATTTAAATATCTTGATGACTAATATTCGCTGATATCAACGCGATTTAACTGAAGACTACTGCGAAACAAGGATAGTGCCATTTAGCAATTGTGTATGACTTATATAACTCAGGTTTGGTCATGTTTATGATTCACTTCTTTTATGTTATTCAAAGAAAGGAAGAAGAAGACACAATATAAAAACCATTGCTGTTACTATTATTTTACATTATTTATCTTCTAAGTCACACAGGTATGTAATGCACGATATACGTTATCATCGAGAGTTAGCTTGCAATAGATTTAGGAGATAAATAAGTTTTGTTTAAGTAAACAGTAAGCCATATAGACGATCTGAATATACTATGGCTTGCTTATGCTAGAATGTTTATGCCATAAATTTTATTTCAAAAATCATCAGGATTAGTTGAATTTGTTTTTTCAGTTTAATATGATTCATGATGCAACTAAAGCACTGATAAAATTTTTTCTATTAAAAGGGCTTACTTTAAGTGTCGAATGAAAAGAGAGCGAATGTCTCAAATACAGATATACGTAACTTAATCAGATGTTACACAAGTTCATCGTACTCTCCGGTAGCTGTATGATCGAACAGCAGTTTTCTGAAATGAAGAAAACTGACTCGTGAATCATCAATTCTATTCCATCTCTATTTGAAGGATATGGTTTTGTTTTTCTTTATTATCTGATAGTGACGTAGCGCATGCAAATAGCTACATAACGTTTTATCAATAAAAGTAACACATAAAATTGCACAACAGTGTTGTAAGAAATAACAAAAACAATTCTGTTTTGTTGTCGTAATCTTTCAACAATTTCTATTTAAAGAAAAAAAAATGGTTTTCGACTATCGACTATAGGATTAATACAATGAATCGATTGGAATCGTGAATAAGACTCTCCTACGCTCAACTGACATAAGCCATGGCGCAGGATCGTAGAAGTTTATATGAGGAAATTTCTTACAATCTGTCCAAAAGATTAAAAGATCATATTACTAAATTGTAAAAAGCATAGATTTCTTTTCATTTTTAGTTTCGAAATTTCAGATATATTTAATAATTCAAAAGTAGACGATTGACAAATTAGAAAACTTGTTCAAAGAATCTTCAATGCTCGATTTTGACTTATCTTCTTAAATAAAGACTTTCTAGATTATCGCAAATTGAAGTCTTACCCTAGTGACAATCTATTCACTGTCGATTAGCAGAGTACAAAAAAAGCATTCGTGGAGGAGCTCCTCTTATTCTCATTTTTTAATATGTATAGCAACCAAAAAAAAAAGTGTCAAGCGTATTCATTTATAGGAAGAGTCGCTCTGAAATGTTTTTACCAATTTATTGTTGATTTGTTCTATATTAGACAGCATGGAAGAAAAACTCAAGGATATCGATGAGATATTCCAATCTGGAAAACAGAAGGAAGCAATTACCCAACTAAAAGCAACGATCGAAGAATCTACGACAGACAATTCACTCTACAAGGCATACGATATTCTTGGAAAATATCTAAACTTTATGGGACAACATATAGAAGCAGTTCAAGCATGGGAAGATGGTTTGAAACTTCTGGAAACGAGTGTAGAACGAGTAGATGAACTTGGAGAGGAGAAAATTATTGATTGGATCAATATTTCACTTCAAACAGCTCAAGTTGTTCATCGTCTAGGTAAAAGTCAAATGAATAATTCATATTCAATATCAATAATGTTTTTCATTATCAGGCACGGATGGACCAGGAGTGTCGCACAAATATCAGCATGTATGTTATACTCCATCCAAAATGACTGAAGCCGAAGAGGCAGAATGGAAAATAGAACAATTTCAAAAGGCAGTAAGACATTTTAAAGGAGTACTGGAGCGTATTCCTGCAGGCAACATGGAGATAAAAAGAAAAATTCGACTTCAATTGGCTAGAGCTCTCTACGATTTGAAACAATTTGACGAAGCTATGAAAATCTACGAAGATGGTTTCTCTGTAAGTAAAATAAAGAGTTATTTTAACTGTATGCATCCGCTGTTATTTCCGGGCATTCTTCTCTTCCTTTTAAACAAATAGGATAGGCATTTTTTTTTGTCTCTCTACAATAATGATAATTGATGATTGATTTTTAAAGTTCATGTAACTATCCATTGTCTAGAACAATCACTTCAACAAATGAATTTTCAGAGAAGAGAAATTTCTTTTTTGAAATGTCGATGTGTGAGATGTTCACATTTTATTCGAACTGACTAAAATTAGAAAATCTCATATATACGAGCAAATAACGAATACGATAACTGTTCTTTAAAGACAAAATCTGGTCCATTTTCATTAAGCAAGTTAAAATGGGGGCATCACCATTTACAGTAGTCTTGGCTACATGATATTTTTAGAAGAAAAATTTGAGCGATAGTGAAATATTTGATATTCTTTATTGTATTTTTCTTTTTTTGCAAGAATGATGGTGATCCTCAATGGCTCTACAAAGCTGCTGAATGTTTGTGGCAGCAAGAAAAAAAAGAGCAAGCCTATACAAGACTTCAACAACTCATTGGTACCGATCCCACTTTTGCAGATGCTTACGGAATGCTTGCAACTTATTTCACCGAAAAAAATGATACAACAAATGCTGATGAATCGATGTGTAAATACAAATTCTATTCCTGGATTCCAAGTTTCTGTCGGCACATCGAATATAATCCTGAAAATCTTGCCATAATCGAGGAACTGAACTCTGACAATGCATTGGAATGCGTCAACACGACACTAGCGAACGATGAATCAAGACGATCCACAGAATTTTTGGCAGCTATTTGCTATCGTCATTATCACGGATCGGTAGAAAACAAAGCATTCGAAGAACTCGAAAAACGAGCCAAAGCATCTGAAGGTGCTGAAAGAGATTTCATTGGATCTACGCTCATGAATCTTATAAAAGATCATCAGAGTGTGTGTACAGTGAAAGGTGCAGCGAATGCATTAGCAGGAATGAAGCATGAAGATATATTTGAAGTATTGGAGTATTTATTGCCTCAAGACGTAAGTTAATAACTGTCTGGCAAAGTCTGCTATGGATTAGTGATTCATTTTAGACAAATCCTATCTTTTCCATGGATATACCAACAGCTCTTGGCAAATTAGGTGATCCAAAAGCAATTCCTCTTCTTATGAAAATCATCGAAAATCCAATGAGCCAAGCAAATGAAGATAGCGACTCATCCGATGGGATATTCTCGTCAGGTGGAAAAAATCGATTAGTCATAGAGTCTTGCTTAGCACTTGCAACTTTTTTCAGTAAGTTGTTTTAATCTCTTTTTCTTTTTTATTATGTTCGTTGATTTTCTTGTTTTGAAGACGACGAGAAAGCAAAAGAAGTGTTAATGAATGGAATCAATAATCAACAAACTCATGAAGCTTGTCTTGCAGTTTTATGTGTTTGTACAGATGAGAAACAATATTTCGAGGAGCTTGAAAAGATGTTGACACAAGGAGAAAGTCTAGACTATAGGGTAGTGGCATATTTGAACAACAATGCCAATAGATCAGAGTATGCTAATAAATTATTGATGCTGAATGAAGAAATCCATATGAAGAAGGAAGCGCAAGCCAACGCCGATGATGAATAACATTTTTTCTAATATATCTACTAATGTTTTTAAACAATTTTCGCAATAAACTTCTTATACTTATTGAAAGAATGTGATGAGTTTCAAATAGGAAAAATAAATAAAACATTAACGCTATTGAAAACATGAAAACACAATTATGTAATCGAGCCAGAAAAGATTGATATAGAATCGGCATTGTAATTTGAAAATGACAATGAATTATGTGTGAAACATAACAAAACACAGAAGATGATGATGCAATTACCATTGGTTTTGATATCTTTAACTGTATATCTCAACTAGAATCATGATACTGCTAAATATGAACGGCATTTCTATGCTGTAACACACAGAAATATTTTTAAATTGCCATCGAAAATTGCTGTCGATTTTGTCTTGAAATAATAACTGAAAAATATTTTGCAGACAAATATGGAGAGAAAAGAAAGATTGTACAACTGAGTCTTATCGTACATTAGGTAACTTGACTTGATCGAGATGCAATAAATCATTGTTGATGACTGGTTTGAAATTGCCATTGAATCCACAAACAAACTCTTTAGTTAATAGAATTCATAAGCATGTAATTGGCGATCCAGAAATAATAACAACTTCATTCTTATCAACTTTTCTGTTTCTTTTCACATTCAATTGAGTTCATTTTATACGAAAAGATTCTTCATTGAATTCGAAAACTTGATTGAAAATCAACGCAATTCCCTATTATTTTTCTAAGCAAATGGCCGAATTTATTTACTCATCGTTTGACTGTAAGACGATAACCATTTGCATTATATCTTGAACTATAGAGCTGCAGTTTCTCTAGCTAATACACATGTCAAAATGAAAATTTCATTAGACCTACATTGCATTATTATACATTTTTTTTTGGAAAGATTCTCAAAAAAGATTGGTTAGATAATGATTTCATCTTGCATAATATTATATCAAAACATGTCCTAACTCAGTCTCTTTCGATTGATGAAAGTCGCAGATCGCTAATTATTGCCATTCTCGAGATATTCGTCTTACACCAACACACATTTAATTCTGGCGTCGACAATAGTTAGACTCAGAGTTGCCAATTGCATGGAACTATGAGACTTCAAGGTCAACGTCAGCGAAGATCGTAGGGTTTCTTTGCACACTAAGAATAAAAACGAATCTTGCTTTTTTCATCCGTCTAACATTTTTCGCTTGTATCTATTGGGCAGTAATGTGAGAGTTATAGTGAGTTTAGAGAAATTATTAGGACAAGTCTGAAAAGTTAATGATCATGTTTTATTGAAATATCAACGTCCTCAAGACTATTCTATGTTCATTTTACTCGATAATAGAAATATGAGAGTCGCAATCATTAGCAGACAGACAACATCTTCTTTAAAAGAGAGTATGATGAGATAATATCCATCATTGTTGTATTGGTAGCTCATCCATAATCATTATTTTATTTCTAAATTAAATTATGCAAGGTGTCGAGTATGATATGTATCCAGGTCTATTTTTAAATAAGTCATTTTGATTGTCAGACACTTTTAAACTAACAGATTGCTAAATCAACTATTTTTTTTCTAATCATTTAGATCTCTTGATCGCTAGTGACAATTGTTGGGTTCCAGTTCACCTGGTTCCTTTCAACAGACGAGTAAATATAATGAAGAGGATTGGCTGATAAGTCTTTCAGTTGACGAACAACAGAATTCATTACCTGAGACATAGGTAAGAGAATGACTTTATCATCGAATCAAACTTTGCATCATTTTATCTCACTTGGTTTTCCTTAGACTTTTTTCGCAAGCATTTTTATCAAAGTTTCATAGAATGAGGAAATATAAGTAATATGTTCTTAAAGATTTTGATTGAAGTCAGTAGAGTTTCTAGATTTTAACATATCTATTTCATATCTCATGAAGATGCTTTGATTGAGTAGCATGCATTTTCAGATACAATACTAAGCAATCTGATATTGTTTGCAAAACAATACTACATCTAAATATAAAAAATAGTGATGATTTAAGAAGACTATGGCGCGCAGATATTCATTGTTCAGATTGCTTTCGTTTGACTTATATAACCCTTTGAGGACCGAAGTTTTTAATCGAAAAAAAAAACATTTTTCAACCTTTTTATTTTATTTTAACTAAAAATAGCTACATAAAAATGTTATAATAATAAAAAAAAACCAATCTTTTTCATCTTTTAAACAAAATGGCAATTTCCAAGCAAAGCACTCGATGTTCGATCGCAAATCTGCTTCCTCGGTGCTAAAATAAACACAACTTCTTCTTTTTCCTTTCATAGGCAAATGCATTTCATTGTCAAGATTAATTGTAAAATGGTATGAAATGAAATAAAGAGTACAAGTTCGAAAGAGAAATGATATACTTTGCAAATTCAAGAACAATATAAATTCGTCGATGAGAACGGGAGTATATATATCCAATATAGAATGAAAATATTCTCGAAAAACAAAAGATCAAAGGAGAAGAGAGAATTTGTGATGTCATTGTAGCTTAGCAGCAAGAATAAAGGACATTTTTAAAAAAAGTTATATGAGAGAAGGAAAAAAAGAAAAGAAAAGAAAAATACGAGATGACAAATGTAGTTAGTTATGACCATAATGACCTTACATATTTAATGGTTTAATGTGAAATAAACGCTTTTTTCTGTACTAAAAAAATAGGTGGTCCAAAAATGAGACACCGGTCTTCAAAGGGATAATCCGTGATTATCGACTAACATCGACTGCATAGAGAATCATTCTCACAGTATTCTTCGCGTCTTTCGTGTTTCTAGACTAGATACTACCTGAAAAAATGGACAAATATTGGTTTGGTTTGAAGACTTTTCTTCTATCTTGTTTCATATGTAAAAAGTTGATGATGTCAGGACTCTCATGCGAATTGGACATTGGATCGTTTCATTTACTGCATTAGTTATTCGGTCGCATACATCTTGTCCTCTCTATACTTCCGAATAATATTGCACTAGTAATTTGATATTAGTGACGTCAAAAACTATATTCTCTCCTTTCTAGCTAGCAACGACTGTTTAGCTTAGACACTAGCACTGTTAAATTCTTTGATAAGGAACTAACTCCGAGATTGATCCGAAAGATATCGTAATGAAATTAGCAAATCATTATTAAGATTTGCCTGTTATATTTGATTACATCGACTGAAACAGGAAATATATGCTTCATGTACAAGGATGCCTTAAGGACGTAGATAAGAAATGATCCTCATTCTATGATATCTTTGCTATCCTACATGTTTAATAGACTGAAGTACAGTAACGAAATGTGGAAATTTATCAAATAATGTAATGACATTGAGTGATATTGAAATCAGAATGACATTTGCTAGAGCGTCTATAAATATCTATTTATTTCATTTAGATTTGAATATTAGAAAATGAATTTTTATAAAAATTTCTCTAACACAATTGTCAACTATTTAGAGAAATACACTGATTGGTTCAGATGTTGTTTGTTACACTTTGTTCTTAAAATAAAGTCGTCATTTATTTTCTTTTTCTTCATCAAAAACATAAGAATTGGTAGCATTTTTTCTTTCTTATCGTTTTTTTTTCTCGAGTAAGTAAATGAATAATACAATACTACCGTCCCGATTCAATGGACTATTGATCTTTCGTCGTGTAATGTTTGTCCATCGAACGTCCTCATTTGATATAAAAATCTCAATAAAATTGAATTACTTGAAAAAAAAAACAATCTATTATAATAATTTTTAAAACATTTTGTTATTTGTTATAGGAAAGAAAAGAAAAGAAAAGACCTTCTAAAATTAACCATACTTTGACTTTTTTTTTCTTATTCTTTTTGTTTTTATTGCTTGTTTATAATACTACAATATTATATTTCTTCGATAGGTTAATTTTAAATTTGAATAATGTCTGTAACATTTATAGACACAAATTTTGGCATTGATTTTCTAATAATTATTTCTAGTAGATTTTATTTTTAAATTCTATTCAATATATGTAACGTGACTCGAAAGAAAAAAGTGCAATAACACCTTTTACTATTTGAGATAAAAAGTAATACAATCAATCTAGCATTGATTTTTTGTTTTTTTTAATTAATAAATGTCGAAAAACAAGAAAGATCGTGTATCCATGGACTTAACTCCCAAAGGTTCGTTTTTAATGTACCTAATAAATGTTCATTTTTGTAGGATATTTTAGAAATTGGTGCACTCATAAAAGCTTCACGAATTACGGAACAAGGTAATGTTATTTATTAATTTGAATTGATAATATTTGTAATTTATATTATTAATTAAAGAAATTCAACATTGGCATGAGGTATATATTTGATTGAAAAATATTTTTTAAGATATCTGTTGTTTTTTTTTTGTTTTGTTAGGACTTTCTTAATCATTGTCCATCAGGTCGATTAGATAAGCAAGCATTCATTGAATATTATAAAAAATTATATCCACGAGAAGAAACAAACAAATCAATTGAGTACATCAGCATATCATTTTTTTTTTGTTGTCAAATTTTATTTTATTATAATATATTTAAGACATATTTTTCATATGATCGATGTAAACAATGATGGTACAGTTGATTTTCATGAATTATTGATTGTTATAGTTTTAATCGATCATTTAAATGATTTGGAATCACGTCTTTCATTTGTATTTGATATGTAGATATGAAATTTTTTTTTGTAATAGATTTCTATAATGTTTGTTTTTGTTTTTTTGTTATATAGATGGGATGATTCAGAAGATGAACATATTGATCAAAAAGAATTGGAGAATATGATATCGGCCATGGTAAGATTTCATTATTTTGATGTTTTTTTTTGTTTTGCTCGATAATATTATTTTTGTCGAATATTTTAGTACGATCGTGCTGGTATTACTGATCGAAAAGGTGATCAACATCCGAAAAAACGTGCAAAAGAGATCATTGCTAAACTTGATATTAGTGGTGATAAAAAATTAAGTAAAGAAGAATTTATTATAGGGTAGTATTTTCATAGAAATCTATATATATATATATTAGGAATATTTATTTTTGTTTTTAGATGTAAAAATGATCTAGTTATTCGTAATTTATTTGCTCCTGATACATAAATATTTGTCAAAAAGATAATATTGTTGTTATTCTTAGTAGTTTAAAATAAATGTATACACTTCTTATCATTTAACTTGCAATATTTCATCAAAACTATGTAAAAAAAAATTCATTTCTCTTTTAGTTTTTGTATTGATTTTCAGTAATACTTAAAAATATAACGACATACAGTAGCGAACAAAAGTTTCCACTCCAGCCGATTTTGGCTATTGTAAAATTTGTCTGCACGTACTTCATCAAGAATATAGATCATTGACATTACATCGCCATTATTATTTAATTACAGAGTTATGATGGATAACACCTATTTTGGTTATCAATTTCATAACCTTGGAAAAGAAAGAGCATTCTATGTCAGCCGACTTCTCTATATGTAATGATATATCTCATCTATTTTCATTAAAGTTTATTAATCATTTCAAAGACTATGCTCATTTTACTGTGGAGAAAAACTATCTATTGTTCGTTGGAGGTCAATAACTCAGTAAACAACGTAAAATTATGTAGACATTCTTTTTTTAGATTATAATAATCAGAACAAAGAGTAGGTGCCATCCATCATAAATCTCTTAGTAATTAAGCAATAACAGCGTGGCGGCAGTGTCTATGACCTATATTCTTGCTGAAGTAGGTGTACAGAAGTTTTATGATGGCCAAGATTGGCTCGAGCAGAAACTTGTGTCCACTATTGTAAATCGTTGACACTTTAAAAAAGAAACATTGCTTTTCGAGTTTATGTACTCTCACTCATATAACGATCAACGCTTTTATTAACACAAAATGTCTTATAAAAATAAAATCAAACGTTATTTATTGTTAAATAAATGAATCTAGGAAATCGGAAAAAGAACTAGTGGGAAAGAAAATGTTAAATTATTATTTCGATAAATATTCTTGAATACATGAAAAAAAAACAAGGGAATATATCAATAGTTCCATCTTTTATGAAAAACGAAGTGCCGATGGATATAAGAATTGGACAAGTTCGTACATAGCTTTTGGTACGATATGTATACCTTCGATGTTTTGATGACCAAAAGGTTCATTAATAAATAATAATTGAGCTAACCAATAATAAAAACGTAATAAACCCATAGAAAAATGTGCTGCTTCATGATTCTGAACATTGGCATAAGAACTAGTCATAATACCACCCGCAAACAATGTACCTATCAAAATAGAAATCGAATAAAATCAAACGAATTTCATGAATTCTTACCACTTGTGGTCATTGGTGCATAATAACCAGTTTTCGTTTCGATGGTTACACTTGTAACTGCTGATGAAATAAGTTGATCATTAGACATAACATAAACATTATCATTAATTTTAATCTGTTTAGCAGGAATATAATTTATTGTATTATTATTTTCAATTATTGGAATTAAATGTAGTCCAGTAAGACTAACATTGTGTCCAGATGCAGTTGTAATAGTATGAAACTTAGCTAAACAAAATAGAACATTAGACAAAACTGATGTTTATTTTACCTTGTGAGAATCGATTTTTATCAAGCATCAACATAAATTGTGTACTGAAAATGGTAGATCCATCAGTTGTTAATAATTTATCATTGGATTGAAGTTGTTCAATTGGAATTTGTTTTTTATTAGACAAAGTGATTGATGTATCGCTAGCAAAACAACCTGATGCTGATGATGAGGCCGATGATGATGGTGATGATTTGGATGAAACATCACCTATAATAGTTTAGTTTGTAAGAATAGAATAGACGAGTTCTCTATTCAGTAGTTTCTATGATATTAGCTTAGTTTTTATTGGAAACTTAAAAAACCGATATCCTCAATTGTTTTTCGAAGAAAATTTTAGTTGATAATGTGTATAAAACTTACTTTTCACTTTATTGCTTGAGCCTTCATTACTGACCTTGTTGGCAATGACCTTAGCGAGAAGTGAAGGTGCTCCCGTAACAAATACAAACTCAAGCAGTATGAGTATAATAAAGAAGTACAATCTACTATGCATGTGAAAGATTTTTTCTCACTGAAATAGAGGTAATAACGAATGACTGCTGACTTTATCGCAGTCTTTTATATAGAGAAATACAAATGAAAAGTTGGAAAAAAAACAATATGAGGTCCTTAGGAAGTAACCTAGTTTTTTTTCCAATCACTTACTAATTTTTTTTTTGTTTATTTGGTTACAAAGAATAACCAAATTATGAATTTTTTCTTTTCTATGACTCATTTATTTGTTTTGAAGTTGCTAGGATTTAATCGAAAATCCATCAGACATACTTATAGATCTTCTATTTATTTTCTGAATAATATTTGTATTACAATGTCTTATGGATTGATTCTCTACCATTATACATCCTACTTTTGAGAGACTTGGTATTTTCGTTTTTTTTTTTTTCTGTAACAATTTCCATAGTTCTTTTCGATTGTTTGTTGATGGTCTGATGTGTCATGATAGAGTAGAAAAAGAAAGTTCCAACTATATTCGATTAATAAATGTCCAAGACAGTTTTTTTTTTTCGTGAATAGTTATATGTACTGATTATGTTTATAAGAATTCACTATTCTACTTCTGAATAAGTGAGAATATTTGTTCAAAAAATCTTTTTTTAGAATACGAAATCTCAATTGATATATTAAACAAAAATATTTCTTTGTTGTACAATAAATATTCATTAGAAAAATTTATTTAAATAATGGGTGGTGGATCATGCTTTCATTATTCATCTGGAACTAATGCTAATAGTTCATGCACAGCCGGTATAAATCTCAGTACTGGTGCTATTATTGGTATTTCTATTGCGTGTCTAGTGACAATTCTCGTCATTATCCTTATCATTCTTCTCATTATTCGTTGTGTGAAAAAGAAAAGAGCAAGGGTGATACATACTCCTCCATATCCCCGCACTATGAACAATCAACAACAGTGGTCAAATCATCAGCAAACATATATGTCAGGATATCCGCCTTCATACATCGAACCAACTGCAACTAGAAATTAAAATAAACAGAATTAAATGTATACTGAATATAAATAGTTGAAAAATTAAAAAAATAAAATTTCTGTTTTCATGTATTAATAATATCAAAAAAAAAACATGTGATAAAAATCGAATCATTATGTGATGTATTAATATAATAAAAGAAAAGACGGTCAGTAACCGATGGCATAAGCTGGTGTTCTTTTAGGGGCATGAATATTTTTGATCACCAAAAAAGATACAATTGATCACCAAAATGTGTTTGCTGCAAAATAATCACCAAAAAAAGATACATTTGATCACCAAACTATTTTATTGCGAAATGATCACCAAAAAAGGATACAATTGATCACCAAATTTAATCAGTGCGAAATAATCACCGAAAAAGCATACATTTGATCACAAAACATATTATTGATAAAAAAAAAGCAATAAATACATGAGAAGACGCCTCGACTTAAAAAGAATACGATTACAGAAAAACTCTACTAAGCCGAAACATGATGAATTCCAGTACTCAGTACAGCCGGGACTACAACTCATGAAACTATTCCTGTTTCACGTTTTCCATTCTTGTTTGATTCGTGGTTACCCCGGCACCATCTAATAGCCGGATAACAGGACAGCTGATCTCCTTATTCTTCCCACTCACACCATCATTGTAAGAGCTATCCTCTATCAAAATCTTCACCCACACCCACACATCCTGCAGCACTCCTTCTCTCCGCTCTTATCCGTCGAATGAGTGTTTTAGACTTATCATCTATAAAACTAGTCAAAAAAGCTAATATTATACTAACTATTTCGCAATAATAATATTTGGTGATCAAATGTATGCTTCTTTGGTGATCATTTCGCACTGATTAAATTTGGTGATCAATTGTATCCTTTTTTGGCGATCATTTCGCAATAAAAAAGTTTGGTGATCAAATGTATCTTTTTTTGGTGATCATTTCGCAGCAAACACATTTTGGTGATCAATTGTATTTTTTTTGGTGATCAAAAGACAATTTTCCCTTCTTTTAGCTATGAGCATGTTCACTTCTATTAAGAGATATGAGTGTTCATTGTTTTTTTTTGATTTTGGCTTTTTATCTCTCGTATGTTTCTATACTATTTATAGTGTTACGATATGCTTATGTTGCCTTTTCTTTCCAGTTTTAGTTCCTATTGATTTATATTAGTTAGTTCTAGTTGACACGTTATTTTTCGTGAAAGACAATATATCGAAATGTAAGAACATGACAAGATCGTTTTTTAAATACAATCGAATATTTTCAAAAAAACAAAAACCACAAAAGTCATCCAACTCATCTTGTTGTCTGTTTGATCATTATCAAATGTATTAATCATAAACATCTGATTTGACATGAAATAAAATGCAGCACTTATCATCATTTGAAATCCCACGAAAACCTTCATATAAATTCATCTTTTAGTATATTTTATGTACATTATACAGACGATTAATTGATAAATTTCGGTCGTATTTTAACTGTCTGAGAAGAGAACAGCTAATTTTAGAAAGAGAAAGAAATTTTTCGTTCTGTCAACAGAACACATGTTGTGTGTTCTTTTCATTTAAAGTAAACACAGTGATTTGGACAATTCAAATAAGAATACATCATTACAATCATCTACTTCCTACCTACTATTGGAATTTTCCATCTTGTCAACTGTACTTGCTCTATATGAAGCATTTGAAAGAGGGAGAATTCATTCAATTTTACTTCCACCTTAACAACAGATATAAATAAGCTGTCTATGGTCTGATGAATCATTTTTATCACTCAAATGATTATTCACCGTTGACGACCAGTGGTAGAAATCGATTGAGTTTAATGATTTTATTCTGCTTCTATTTTGATAGGTACATTATTTGTCAATCGTATCATGACTAATTGTTATGTCAACATTCAAAGTCATGAAGGTCTCCTCAAAAATCGGTCTCAATCCAAGAACGTTCAAATGGCATGAAATTTTCAAGATATGTTGAAACTGCAGTGGATAAGCTATGGTAAAATTTCCAGTTCGATATCA